GCCACCGTAGGATGCCTCGCCCGTCTCTCCACCGATCGATCACCGTCTGCCATGGAAGCTTGGTGCTCGGCTATAAAAGCCCGGCCTCGGTTGCCCTAGCGCCCTGAGCTCTCAACGCCCCGCCGCCACCTTGTGGCTACCCTCTGCACACCCGAGCCAAGAGAGAGAGCCAAGAGAGGAAGAAGGAAGGGAGCGGGAGAAAGGAGGAGCCGCCGACGGAGCACCTCCGAAGCCGCCAGAGCAAGGACGACGCCACAACGTCGCATGGCATTGCACGGCATTCGGAGCTACACGGCCACAACCCGCCACTGCACCGCTATCCATTCGACTCCAACACCAACGGTGAGCCCCGATTCTTCCTCTGCTCACCGCTGGACCTTGCTGTTCGGCCATGGCGCTCCACACCGGGAGCGTGTAGGCCAAGGCCGTCTCCGGCCGCTGGAAACACACGCACCCACACACCCACCCACGACCACACCGTGACCACCCCACCGGAGCCCTGTAGCGCACCCGCGTGCCTCACCGTCGTCTTCATGATCGCCGTGGCCGCCGGGATGTCCCTACCGGCCACCTAGGAACCTGTAGCCTCGCCTTGAGCCCTGGACGCCTTCGCCGTGCACCCACAGAACCGTAGAAGCCCTCATCTGCCCAGCTTAGCCACTGGAGAAACTGCGTACGCGACCTCGCCACCGGTGAGCACTGCCGAGCCGCCAGCCGCCGTGGCCAACGCCCTGGAAGGCCCCGACCACCACTTAGACCCCAGAATCATGATCGCCATCGCCCGGGGAAGCCTTTCCCCTCCCCAATTGGACACCAGCACTGCCACGGAGGCTCACAGCGAGCTCGCCGCCGGCAGGAGCATCGCCGCGGGAGAAACAGGGGAACACCCCCCTCGCCGGCCACCCGTGAGTGCACCCGGTGCACAAGGACCGCGCCTGACAGAAGGAGGGTGGACTCGGTCCACCGTAGACATATCTATGGTCCATGGACCAGCACCTCCTGGTCCACCGTGAGCCACGCCCACGTCCACGAGCTGTGGATGAAGCCCAGTAGAGGCCCACGGCCGTGACGTGGCAACGCCACAGCTTGCCACGTGTCCGGCCTGGCCCGGCCCGGACCGGCCCAACCCGAAGCCCGCCGAAGCCCGTTTGAGACCCAGTCCGTGTTGACCGTTGACCTGGCCTCACATGTCAGTGGCACGAACACTCTGGACCCACATGTCGATGATCGACGGCGTTATCGCGACGACATGCCGACGCCACGCGCAGACCCACACGCCGTCGAAGCAGAAGCGGGTGACGGTGGCGTCATGCGACATCACGCCGACATCATTGCCGACGTCGCAGCCGAGCCCCACGCGTCGGTGACCACGACTGATTGACCATTGACCGTTGACTCGCCGTTGACTGACGTTGACTTTGATCGGACCCACCTGTCAGTGACCCAATAGCCTCTGGCCCCACCTGTCGGAATGGATGACGTTGATGACGTCATGAAGACGTCATGCTGACATCAGCTGGACCCCACCTGTCCGCTCGGAACCGTGATGCCGACGTCATGCTGACGTCAGCATGCCACGTGGACCAGTCACAGCGTGACACGTGTCAACACAGGATTAATTTAGCCTTTTTCCATTTTCAGAAATAGATTTAATCTTCGAAAATTCATAACTAATTCATACAACCTCGGAAAAATACGAAACTAGGACCAAAATTCATCTAAAATCGAGCTTTACGCAATGAACCCATGTTTGAGTGCATTTGGCTCTTTTGAATTTCCATTGCTTCTTTGTGCCATTCTATAGACGTCGCTAACGCGACCGTAATGCGATCGTTTGTAGACTCAGAGGAGAATCAGACGAACGAGGATCGTGAGTACCGTGAGGAGTACGGAGATGACTACACTAAAGGTGCCACATCCCACCCAATCTCATAGCACCTATTACGCATGGCTAATATAGAACTGCTATTGCTTTACTTACTGCTATAATCATACTATGATAGGACTTGCATGGTAGTATGCTTACTTGATGGCCTTTACCTTGACACAACCTTACCCCTGCATACCCTGCTATTAGGCTAGACACACGCTTACAACTATATATCATTGCTTACACTTCTACTACGCTTATACTACTTTAATGCGTGGTGGAAACTGGAGTTATCTGGACTATGGGGAGAGTGTTGCATGTGTGACTTGGGTGTGTGGAGGGTGAGAGTTGTGTCGACCAAGTTGGAGTATACGATGAGCCTAGGGCAAGTCTTGCCGCGGGGTGCTACCTGGGCACCCCTAGAAATGGATACCTGTGGTGGGTAAATGGTATATGAGGTGACCCTGGGTGTGAACCTGTGATGGGAGGAGCCCGGGATAGAGGTGCTGTGGTGGCACGGTAAATGGAAACTCTGATGAAGACATTCTGGCTTGGTCATCCCTAAGGACTTACTAGTACTCAGATTCACCGGGAAGCCTTACGTACCACTCGCCCTATATGGTGCGGGACGGTCGGACTACTTGGTAGGATATTGCCACTACTGCTAGGTTGATAGCGGACAGTGTGAGGGAGGTATGGGTGCGGAGGATTCCCCCCACACCCTTCCGAGACTTCATGGAGACCTTGTGGACCTGATTCATGACTCACAGTTTCAGCCACCCTAGACCGAACTTGGGGTGTACCAGGGCTAAATGGTAGAGTGGCATTATCCTAGGCTAGCAAGCGGCCGGAATCAGCCCAGTTGACGATGGTCAGCGAGGAAGGCGGATCTTGTGGTTATGTAAAACCTCTGCAGAGTGTATGGTTGATCGATCGATACATATGCCGACTCGTCGGCTATGGACCTTTCCTGGGTTTTGCTTAAACTAGATAGTGAGATGAGTCCTTCTTTTCTCCCCCTGGGAGTGAGTGTTCGGACGTAGCCAAGGGCTATGGGCCTTGAGACAGTGCCGAGAGGGAGTTGGCCTGTCGACTGAGCGATGGTATGGGAGTGGTATGGTGATGGTGTGGAGATGGTGGTGTTTCGATCCCAGGATCGACTCCTGGCTCTGGAATGGGAATAGGGTGGAATGGGTGTGGGAATAGTGTTAAAACTTGATCAACTGTTAATATACCTGAAATGCTAATACATAGGAAACCCCAGCCTTATAGGTTCCTTTTTGATTATATCCAACTTGCATCTAATTTTCACGAAGCAATGCTCATAGGGTTGGGAGTGGCCAGTACAAATCGTACTGATAAATTTTGGCATACAGGTTCTACTGAGGAGTATAGCTCCGAAGAGTTTGACGAATGAGGGGTTCGTGCCTACGCTCGAGTTTGGCGATCTTATCTTCAAGCTGTTCTGAATGAATGTTACTTTTGATACCTCCAATGCGGCATTGTAATTATTTATGTAATTCCACACTATTTGTACTCTGATATTATCGTTGTATGGATGTGATGTCCGACTGGAATTTGGGTAATATGATATACCACGGTCTTATTACACTTCGACTCTGTGGATTTCCCTTCGTGGAAATCGGGGTTGTTTCAGAGGGCCTTCAATTTTAAGTATTATACCAAAGCATATGCAAAAGAACAAATAATCAAAGTTACAAAATACAAAAGTTTATTATGGATTGCAAAATAACAAAATATTTGAGCCTTCAATTAACCAAACATATCAAAATTGGAAAATTTTCAAATAATAAATACAATTGAGAAAAACACAAATCTTCACATTAATATTAAGTTACACCAATACTACCTAGAAATTATACCAAAATAATCACCATAACATAAACCCGAGTAAAGTGTAAATCTAGTATAAATTCATAGTAACTAAAATCATATTCTAGGAGAGAGGAATCAAATCTTAGTTCCTTTGATGAATGCTAATTAGGAAAAAGAAATTGTAAGGTGATGAAATAAAAAAAACTAGGTAACAGAAATAATATTTAGAACCGAGCATGATATATGTAGTGAAACTAAATAAATTTTAAGAATCGGAACAATGCATATCGAGATCAACAAATAATCGAAGTTTAAAAAATTGTAAAAAAATATTTGAGCCTTCAATTTCAAACATATAAAAAACATAGGAAAATCTCAAGTTACAAAGGAAAAGGGTGAGAAATAACATCAATTGATAGTATTTGATGAATGCAAATTAACAATGTTAGAGGGCCTGTATTAAAAATGAAACAAAATTAGCCATCTAAGTAAAAAACAAGAGTTATTGCCAAAATAAACAACATTAACAAACAGAAAAATATTAAAAAACATAATTAAAAATTCAACGCATGAACTTAAAAGCAAAAGGCAAAGTCCACAGTAACAATGGGTGAAATAGAAATAATAATTACTGTCCCCTGACAAAGCAAAACTGTTTAGGCTAGAAGCATACGGCATCAGGTATACAAACTACAAAATGGAATGAAATGTTGGCGTGTAAATTTGTATGTCAGAGCATACTTCAAGGTGACACTGCCGTTCGAACAGTTAAAGGTAAAATAATGGCACTATGGCAGAAGATGAGAGATCAGATACCACGCGTGGCGTGCTAAGTCGGTGGGCAAATCCAACGGACACAAATTCGTGTGACGAGACAAAACAAATCACACAGGCAAGCTTTAGCTTTTCTGTACTAAAATAGTACAGTGGAAGGGCATGGCCGCATGGGACACGATGCCAAGTACAATGATTCAGCCTATTCGTTTGATTTTAACCAAAGTTTATCAGTTTATTAATAGTATATTTTTCTCTCACAACGTACTCATATCAGCCGAGCTTATAAGTCTGAAAATCCGCCGGTGAACAGCGACTCGACGGCCGGCCAAAGACACTGCTGCTTCAAGGTCAAGTCAATCGTCCAGGCAACGACGTGGCTCGTAGGTTGGTGCAACATAATTTGGCCTGGCCTAGGACTAGGAGTAGATGCCGCCGTGGGCGTTTTCATTGCCGTGGCTTGACCTCTTTCATTGCCGTTGCCGACCAATCAATCCACAGGAGACTGAGAGCTGCAGGAATGGAGGTGTACGCAGTCGGAGCGTTGAGGCTGCTACCATGGCTGGCACTGGCAGCAGTGCTTCTGCCACCTCCACCTGCGGCGTCGCAGCAGCCGGCGGCGAGGGGATGCCGTCAGCAGTGCGGCAACGTGACCGTCCCTTACCCGTTCGGCATCGGCGCGGGCTGCCACCGCGGCTCGACCACGGGGGGCTTCCGGCTCCAGTGCGACGACGATGCCAGCGGCCGCGGACGCCCGCCGCTGCTCACCGTGGCCGGCTACGGCCACGAGGTCGCTGCCATCTCGCTGGCGACGGCCGAGGCCACCGTGCTCCTCAACGCGAGCCGCGCGTGCTACGACCGCCCGGGGGACCCCGACGGCCGCGTCGTCAGCCTGCGTGAGCACCCCATGGCGCTCAACGGCAGCGCGTTCCTCTTCTCGTCGATGAAGAGCAAGTTCGTGTCCATCGGCTGCCCCGGCCTCGCCTACTTCAACGACGGCGACGGGTACTACGTCACGGGGTGCATGTCCGTGTGCCGGCCCTCGGAGCGCGCGCTGCCGGGGTCGTGCCGCGGCGACGACAGCTGCTGCCAGAGCAACATCCCGCTCGGGCTCAACTCCTACCACCCCTACCTCGGCAGCTTCGGCCGGCGCCGCCGCGGCAGCGGCCGGGGGAGAGAGCAGGAGGCGACGTTCCTGGCCAACTCCACCGCTTGCTCCTACGCGTTCATGGTGGACTCGATGTGGTTCTGGCTAGCCGGCTCGCACTTCAACCGCACCGGCGACTTCGCCGTGCCCGTCGTCCTGGACTGGGCCATCAGGGACGCCCCGAGCTGCGCCGCCGCGGCGCGGGATGGCGACACGTACGCGTGCCGCAGCGCGCACAGCGTCTGCCTCGACTCCAGCAACGGCCCCGGGTACGTCTGCAACTGCACCGGCGGGTACCAGGGCAACCCGTACGTGGCCGACGGCTGCACGGACGTCGACGAGTGCCGGCACGGGGACGAGTTCCCATGCTACGGCGTGTGCGTCAACACGCCGGGCAGCTTCCTCTGCACGTGCCCCAAGGGATCCAGTGGGAACGCCACTCTACAGGGCGGCTGCCGCCGAGACGACGACAACAGATTCGGTTTGCCACTGAAGATCGTCACGGGTGTCAGCGCGGGCGTGTTGCTGCTGCTGCTGGCGAGCTTCTCGTCGCACCTGTGGGTTCAGAAGCGGCGTCTGCTCCACGCGAAGCAGCGGTTCTTCGAGCAGAACGGCGGCGTCCTCCTGCAGCAGCAGCTGGGCTCGCTGGCCAGCTCCGGCGTGGCGTTCAGGATCTTCTCCGAGGAGGAGATCAGCCGGGCCACCAACGGCTTCGCGGAGGCGCGGGTCCTCGGCCGCGGAGGGCAAGGCGTGGTGTACAAGGGCGTCCTCGCCGACGGCTCCGCCGTGGCCGTGAAGAAGTCGAGGGTCGTCGACGCGAAGCAGGTGAAGGAGTTCGCCAGGGAGATGCTGATCCTCTCACAGATCAACCACCGGAACGTGGTCAAGCTGCTCGGCTGCTGCCTCGAGGTCGAGGTGCCCATGCTGGTCTATGAGTACGTCCCCAACGGCAGCCTCCACGGCTACATCCACGGCGGCGGCGAGGCCAAGGTGCAGCTGCCACCCGGCGCGCGCCTCCGCATCGCGGCCGAGTCCGCGGACGCGCTCGCGTACATGCACTCGTCGGCGTCGCCGCCGATCCTCCACCGCGACGTCAAGTCCGCAAACATCCTCCTCGACGGCGGCCTCGCGGCGAAGGTGTCCGACTTCGGCGCGTCGAGGTTGGCCCCGGCGGGCGAGGCGGCGGTGGCCACGCTGGTCCAGGGCACCCTCGGGTACCTGGACCCGGAGTACCTGCTGACGAGCCAGCTCACCAGCAAGAGCGACGTGTACAGCTTCGCGGTGGTCGTGCTGGAGCTCCTCACAGGGAGGAAGGCGTTCGTCCCGGTGGAGGACGAGGACGAGGAAGAGGAGGGCGGCCTCGCGTTCTGCTTCATCACGGCGGCGCAGGCGGGCCGGCACCGGGAGATCATGGACCAGCAGGTCATGAAGGAGGTCGGAGCGGAGGTGCTGGACGAGGCCACGGAGCTGCTGATGCGCTGCCTCAGCATGGTCGCCGATGAGAGGCCAACCATGAAGGAGGTCGCCGACAAACTCCATAGGATCAGATGCCTCGCTTGCAGCTGTAACGGTACGCAAAATTAAGAGTGACTCGGAGTACCGGAACCGCTATCAGATTAATGAGAAAGTAAACTGGCACATGTCCTTCTGATCTCAACCATTAGATATGCATCGTGGTATATATGCAGAGCAGAAGAAAGGCAGATTAATTACTGGATTTTCTATCTAATAGAGTCTGTCTAGCCAACAAACATGTATTTCAACAAAAGGTAGCACATGGTTGTTTGCTAGCTATAAAACACACAATTTGTAATAGAGCAAAAACCATGTGTTTTAGCACAAGCTAGCACATGATTGTTGGTTGCTTGTATAACACATGATTTTTAAGAGAGAAGAAACCATGTGTTTTAGCACAAGCTAACACATGTTTGAAAAGCACAACAGCACTTACGTATATTGTTGATTTACAGCAGTGAACTAACATAAAAAAATTAGACCACCCCATGTATTAACAATTTGCTTGTTGTACACTGCCATAGTTCGTATTTATCCAGAACATCCAATTATCAAGCAAGAGAACATGGTTATAACTGCCATATGAAATAACTAACTGCAGACAACCTTCCACAAAATTCCTTGAAAAAGTTTGGAAAGCACAACAACACTTACGTATATTGTGAAGACAATCACTATGACCATAACTGAAACTCCCCAATGATCAGGAAAGTCATTGATAAGATGTCTGGCCACAAATATACAGAAGACCACCACTGGTGCAAGGATGAGGAATATGGTGAGAAACAAGGATCTCACATCAGGTCCAAATATGAACCGACCTTGCAAGAAAAACTCCTGAAAAGAATATCAGCAAACTCAATTGTGAAACATATGTATAAAAAAAGCATCATATAACATATGAAGGCGTTGAGTTAGAACATTTCATCCATCAGATACCAAACAACAAAAATATCCCCTCAACACTTCAGCTGTAAAATCTATCATTGGAAAATGAACATATAATACAAGAAAGATACTAGAAGGATATTGTATAAAGTAAAGAATTATAATAAACTAAAGAAGCATCAGAACATGTCATAGTGTAAATTAGGATTCTATTCACAGGGAGGAAGTGCTGGGCAGGCTGACAGGCCCCCATACAATGCTTTCTGGAACTTAGCCAGGTAACTTCTCTAATTAATTGTAAACTTGAAGCCGATTTGCTATCCAAAAGCCAAGGGATACTGACCACTGGCAGGGAAGAAGGTGTGCCTAACTACCAGAAAGAAATTCAAATTGCAGATGCTTCACAAGAATTGCATGAGTAAACACATGGCCAGTGAGCAGCTGACAATCAATGTTAAGTCTTAGACAATGAAACACAATACTGCCTGCCTGGGAACGTACTCGTAGACCACCTCAAAAGAAGCCTCAATAGCTCGTAAACAGAATCCACAGGCTATAATCTGAGAAAGAGGACTGGTACATATCATTGATTGAGGATGTCGGCTTGCACCCAGTTGGACAATCTAGAGTAGCAGAATGGGTGGGGAAACAGGAAAGAAAAGGGATGGACGAAAGGAAAATACAAAATCATGTTCTTATGCATATTCCCATTATGATACCCAATAGGCCAATACAAATGAAGTAAAAACCGTTTCTTGTCTTCTATGATGCCCGAGATAACAAAAGCATGCCCAAGCTTGAAGCGAAGCTACAAGGAAAAGGAAACATATGGATAGGTCTTGGTGTCTATAAAAGCAAATAGGACTCCCGTAAGAGAGAAATAGAAACTAGATTCCAAGCTGGCACAACAACTAAGGCACAGAAAGTTGAAACATCTCCATGCTTGGTACTATCCAGTGACAAATGCTACCAGCAAACCTTTTGTTTAATTTGGACAGTGGGCAAACATTTATATTCACATATTCGTTCAGCAAGTCAACAAATATCTATAGATGGCAAACAAAAACAGAATTAAAAGATGGAAAACAAAATAGTGCCAAAGTTATATATAAAGACTGGATATTGCACATGTTAAACACCATAATTGCAGCATTTTAAGTGTGCAATTTATTACTTATAAATGTGCAATCAAGAAATGGATACTAAACACAACTTTCTTGTATAGTGTATGCGTATATGCAACACACAATTAAAAGATGTGAGCTCCTACTATTCCACTACAACAGCCACAAGACAGCCCAGCTATCCAAAACTACAGGAGGATGAGGCTATACACAAGCAGTACAGGGTAAAACAAAAATGCTTCATCAATGTCATTGCTAGTGGAGGGACCGAGCTCAATTAGGCATGATGGCTACTGCAGCTTAAGCAAAGAATGTGCATCAATTAGGATTTAGAGGCAAGCAAACCGTAGTAACACTAACACACCTGTGCCTCCTCCACACACATATACACAAACACACAAGCAAATAAACAAACAAAGTACAACTTAAAAGCACTCAACTGGTCTACGTTTATCGACTCCATAACCAGCATTCCACAAAGAAAGCTTCACAAAGTACAAAGTACAATCCGGAGCCACCTCCGATGAAACTAAAAAAAGGATTCACGGAAGTGAGTCTGTGACCGTGTCACAAGATGGTTTCGATCTCAGCTAATCAGTAACAAATTCAGAAACTAGGAAGAATATATGTCAATAAGTATATATGTTCAAATAGATGCAGGCTGGACAGAATGCATTTACAAATCCTATGTTGACAAATCTATCAGACATCAGTTACAATGACAGAGATGAGCACAGTAGGAACACCAATTATGTTGCAGAAATACTTACTAGATCTGATGCTGGCCCTTCAAATGCCTACAGATACAAAAAGGTGAGCAAATCATTGCTGAGATTCAAAAATGTCAAGATGAAAAGGTTGTTTTTTGAACTAAATTATATTTCAATGCAGGAAGGCTACACTGAACTTATGCTGGAATAAACCATGGCCATCGAGTGCAGCACCGACACCACCTTGTACTAGGCATCTGACATGGTCGTCTTCCTGAGATTGAACAAAGGCTGAAGTTACATAGCTGATTTGGAGCAACAGAAACATCAGCAAGATCATGAAAATCATAGCTAAACATACATACCTCAGCATTATCCTTTTGGTTACTCTATGTGAACTGCACTTTGTGCCCCAAGACGCTACCTGCATGTATTGCAGACTAGGTGAAATAGAATTCAGAAATCTATAATGGCACAGTAGCTAGGAGCAAGTGGACAATACAAATGGCAGACAGAAGTTAAGTTTGGGGTTTCGGTCCTTAAGAAAAGATATATACTGAAAATGCAACACTAAAAATATACAGCGGTGATAATATACTGAAAATGTACAGCAGAACTAAGCATATATCCTGAAAAATGGCAAGCTCCAAGTTCATAGAGACAGGACTACTATTCAACAATATAGCAATATCACAAATCAGAATTAATAAAGCATGTTATATCAATTTTTTCATGAAACTTAAAATCATCAAACACAAATGGGTAAATCAACTCATCACTAGCGAAACAAGTGCGGAATTAAAACTATCGGTCTAGACATTGTTTACTAGCACCTTGCTAAGACAATTATGCACAAAGGTGCCCGGGCTATCTAGAGCTCTCCTAAACAATTCTAAGAGAGGAAAAATGAGATGTGTGTTGACACAAATCATGCTAGTAATTAACAAAGTTTATGAAGTGTTAGCACAAAATCAAAAGAGACAACTTTTTTTCCATGAAACGACAAAGACAAAAAATGAGGTGTGTTGACACAAATCACAATTAACAAACTTGAAAGATGTGTTACCACAAAAAATTAAAAGAGACAATTTTTTTCTATTGAAGGACAAGGACAAAATTTCGGTGTGGGCTGACACAAATCACAAGAAACAAAGGACAAGGTAGCTCAAACTAGAATGCTCCTACCGGGGCGAGCAAAGGACAAGGTGTGTTAGCACAAATCACAAAGGATAATTTTTTCTATGAAAGGACAAGAACAAAAACTTGGTGTGAGCAGGCACAAATCACAATTAACGGAAGAAAAGGTGTGCTAACACAAATCACAAGAGACATCGTGAGTTTTATCATATACCTTGGCAGACACCCAGGTCTTTCTTCACTGAGAATGATGTTAAAGCTGAACCCCGCCGTCGCCACCTCTCAGATCCTTGGTGAGGGTCCATCATCGATCTTCTTGGTGGCTTAAAGACAAGCATCATCTTGTCATTTTACAACCAAATAGATATATTTAGGATCTAGGAGAACAAGATACCCAAAAACAAGTGAAACAACATACACATTTTCACAATCGAAACAAATAAATGACCATGAAGAAAAATTATACGAATGGCACTAGATGACCGATATGCAAACAAGTTTGCCTCTCTTGATAGTACGGCCTTGTCCTAAACCCGGTCATCGGTGAAGACACAAGTGGATTCCACCGACATAGTTGGCTTCAATGTACGATGACAACCTCACCCCACAAGGATCTAATCAGGTTCTCGTAGAATTGAAGCAATTCAAGCATCACGGTCCTCACAAGCTCAAAGCTAAAAGCCTGAACAAATAAACTCAATCCATGTACAAAATAAGCGTGGAGAGAGCAACACGGGAGAGTACACGATGCCAAAGGACTAATCAGACATAAACACAATTAGTCCACCTAGCTTGTCACCAAAGAGAAGGGTCTTGGAGTCCTTTGAGGGTGATGTCAATTAAAAGAGACAATTTTGTTCTTGAAGGACAAGGACAAAATGGTGCTTGAAAAGAAACTGAACACATGGTAGATGGAAATAATAACATGTACACAAATCACAACCAATACCATAGCTTAAGCTAAGAGAGGGTGGGATTGGTGTAGCACTAGCATACCTAGAGACAACAATGAAGGGCCCATGATACCCAAACAAGTGATGCACTACACATCTCAAACAAATAAATGACACAAGGAATAGCCAGTTAGTGAGATCATTATTATATCACCAAAGAGAAGGGTCTTGGAGTCCTTTGACACAAATGGTGAACCCACACATTTAGCAATAAATGTACCCTATGATACCAATAATGCTAAGAATGGAATATTTAGCATTTTTTTTTCTAAGCGTTAGTGAGCTAAACCTCCACGAGAGCAACAAATGATCTTGCCATCATTGCAAAAGCTTCACCGCATCAAAAGTTGGAGCACCCCATTGAAAGGGACATTGAACATAAAATGTGGGGGCATATAACTGATTCAACCTCAGAGGCAAGCTTCCTGAACATATGTTTTTCCTGCTTAATCAAATGTAAAAAGGAAAACAAAATAGTGATAAAGTTATTTATAAAGACTAGATATTGCACATGTTACACACAGTAATTGCAATATTTGAACTGTGCAATTTACTACTAATAAATGTGCAATCAAGAAAATGGTACTTGTACATAAAAGAATAGAATGAAATCACAGTTCAGTAGAATTCTAATGCAGTTTACAGTATAAATTCATCATCCTCCATGGCTACATAACAAAACAAATTCATTGCAACTTCACTGCAATATTTACATGCAGGTCAAACAATTATTTTGCTCAAAAAACTTATGCCGGACTGCTTGTACATGGTATACAAGTCACATACCCGACCAAGTAAATCTTCAGATACACAGCTGAATCCAGACCTGCATGGCTAATCAACTCATCTTCAGGCATTTTGAGAGCAGCAGACATCCAACTTAAGAATTTCAAGTATGAACGCATGTCCAAATTGACAAATTTTCGGACAAATGTACCCCCATGACTTGAACTCTCTCTTGAGCCTTTCAGGTACCATTTTGGGAAGTAAACCCTATCATTGATTGGCTGCAGCCCACAGACAGATATAAACTAAAGATAGTGAATTAGATATTGAGGTTGGCAAAATAGGCCTGCTACTGCTAGTTCATGCCATTGGAACATCACTGACCTCAGCAGCAAGGCAAGAGTCTAAAATATACCATATATAAACTAGGCTACAGAAACAAACACGCCCACTACTTTAGGATAGTCATCACAAGTAAGCCAATGGGACAATGAACACTGTCATGTCAAGACTGCACAACTAGCACAGGTGGAACACAATTTAATAGAACATTAGACAATTCTCCGAGTAAGAGATCCTATGCTGGAAAGGAGCACAGCAGTGCAACCATTATTTAGAATAAAGTGTGTGTCATTATTAGATAAGAAAAAACCAGAGCACTACAAGACACGTGTTCAAACTCGGTTTAGCAAGATCTGATGAAATGAGAAAAACAGAGCATTCAGTTAAGAAAACAAGATCTGACGAAATGAGAAGAAGAAAAAACAAAGCA